CCAAAACGGCCGTGTGGGGGGGTCTTTAAACTGTATATGTTTTATGTATTTGCTGAACGTTTGCTGTGAGCTTGGTTGTTTCTGCTTCACGTTTGCAGCTGGTTTCGGTCTTTGTTCTTCAGTCTCTCACATTAAATCCTGTCACGCTAAGAAATCTTCAGAGTTATGATAAACTGGCTTGGCTTTTTTTTTAAAATTTGTCCTCAGGTGTTTCGAATGATCTTCACTGGAGGCGAGCTGTTATCTGGTGTGTGAAGGGTTAAGGCGATCAGGCAGTGTTCACTTTAATCTTCATAATGGAAGCTAAAGAGGACTAATGATGGCGTCTCTCTCCTCCTCCCTCCATCCTCTTTCTCCTTCCCCGTGTCCACACCTCCATCCTTAACCCCCTGACCCTCCTCGACTCTCTCTCTCTCCTCGCTCTCTCTCCTCCTGCACAGCCAGGCGTTACCACGGTGACAAATGGATCCTCCTCCTGGATGCTGCAGTGTTACTTTGTGTGTGTGGTTGTGCATAAACTATAGAGGGTGTTCTCCGAGGGTTTGGTGGCCCTTTTGATACTGTGTTTATATCCATGTAGGCATGTGTGTGTGTGTGCATGTGTGTGTGTGCGTGTGTGTGTGTGTAAAGGCTGCAGCTCTGTGACAGTGACTGATAGCACGTCGTGGTAAACGATGCAGAACTTTCTTTAATAGCAGATACAAGAGGTGCTTAAAAATCCTGCCTAATGGAGAAATATGACCGAGAGGGAGGAGGGGCAGTGGGTGAGGGGCAGTGGGTGAGGAGGGGGAGAGAGAGAGGGATAAGATGGAGAGGAGCAGCTATAACAGGAGTGGAGAGAGGAGAAAAGATGGAGGATGTGTGTTTTCAAACAAACTTGTGTTTGATGCCAAAGTGAAACTGTGACATCATGATCACATCGATCAGCTGTGAGCGTCAGACATTTAAAACAAACGTCAGGTGAATAAGCGGCAAACGTTACAGTCACCTGACCTGTAATATTTCAGAGAAGACAAAACTTCCAAAACTTCTCATTTAACCTTTCAGAGCCTTAAAGGTCCTAGTAAACAGCTCACAAAATCTTCTTCTTTGGTAAATATCTTAAAATGAGATGTTAATCTGGACTTGTCGAGTAAATGTAGCTCATAAAAAGATGAATGAGAGGTGAACACATCCTCTTCATTTGAGTCGTCGTGCTCTGATCTCGACCTCCATGTCTTCCTCAAACACTAAAAATCCAGCAGGTGGCAGAGATGCAGTTCTCAAAATTCACCACAAGAGGGCGATGTTTCTCCAACAGCTGAATGCACGGAGGGAAAGCTGAGGCTGCTCCACTGTTTCCTTCTTCCTTTCCTGCCTTCCTCCATCTCGTTTCCTTTCTTTCTTCTTTCTTTCTTTACAGGTCTCCCTTCTTGTCCCTGGTCCGTTCTTTTTTCTGTCTCAGCCCCGTTTTGACCGCAGGAACAAGGAATTATGTGCATTTGGGCTGCAGGAACCCCGGTCTGAACTTAACTCCCCTCCTTCTGTCTCCCTCTCCTCGTTCCCTTGCCGTCTCGTTCCTTGTCCTCCGTCCCTCACGCAGTATTCTTCTCTCACTTTTTAAAGTCCGGTTTGGTTAAAATAGAAATTTGAAGATCGTGCTGCGTCGTGTATTCAGTAGAGATTGACGCAACCTTCCACAGTTCTTCCTCCGTGTCTGCAGATGTATTTAACCCCTCTAATGTGTTCTTTTGTGTTAGCGGTTGATTTTAATCAGCCTAAAATACTCTAAAAACTATCATTCTCATCCAATATTGTTTTTCACCTTATAACTAAGTTATTATGCAATCATATCCATGCAAAGACTGGTTTAAATTGAATTTGTATGGTCCCATGGAACTTTAAACTTGCAATATACCACTCGTTTTCAAGTAAAAATATATATAAGTTCATGCATTGTATTTTATTGAATATAAGTAAATATGTATTTATGTTATCTGACTGTAATAGACTAATACTAGAACAAACTTTCTAGAATGAATTACTTGTGATTGTTTAAAAAATGTATATTTTTAACCAGTGACATCTGTGGTGCTAGGGGTCAAAATAGATTTATGTTAGAAAGAAGGTAAAAAGCCCTTTATTTTATAAGCAGTAGAACCATATTTTATTTTGCATAACAAATCAGGTGTAAATTTAACATGAACCATTGTATGTGTGTGTGTGTGTGTGTTTTCAAAGTAAAATCACTCATGACCAAAGATATGGTCAATGGCCTCATAGATAGTCAACCTCTTGCTCATGATGAAATACATTGCATGCTACAACACAATGAAATTGATAATAACTCAAACAAGCCTTATTTATAGATAACAATTGCGCGAGAATTCTGTATAATGTTGTTCATGCCCCTCCTTCTCAAGATGACACCTGGCTACGAGAAAAGTGTGAGCAGCATGTGTTTGTGTGTTTGTGTGTGTGCGTGAAACACTGAGGTTCAGTTTTGGTTAACATGTTTCAGGTTTGTGGAAAAAGTTGTGTTCCCGCGGGGGGAGGGTGCCAGGTGGATTAAGAGTACAAGTCCATACTACGGGAAAATAATTGTTCCCACCAAAGAAGGGAGGGGTGGGGGAGGTGTGCAGAGTCAAATATGAATCTTCTTTGAGCCAGATTTGATCCATAGAGCTACCCACAACTTAAAGGATGCATGCAACAGCCACTTTTTTCTATCGGGTCATATTTGACCCGTAGCACCACAGATGTCACTTTTTTGTTAAGAGACCTTCAGAATTGACTTAAACAGTAAAAAATTGTTTTGTGTGTTTATGAAGCTTTTTCTGAGGATATCATAAAATCTTGTGCCAATAAAAAAATCTAAAAGGCATTTTTTACATGTCTAAAGTTGAAAACGGGTCAAAAATGTGAGGTGATATCTCGGTCTGTGAATCCTTCAGCCTGATTTGACTCCAGGAAACCAAAAAACAAAAGAAGCACAGAGCGGCCTGACAAACGGGTTAACACTGATTTGGTTAACGTGCTGATTAGGTATCAAAGCGGGACTATTCTCTCTGATTTACATGAAGCTCGGTTGTTCTCTCGGCTTGTTCGTCACCTGAAGATTCAACACTTTGACACAAAGAGCCACGGCTGAGTTTACTGCAGAGATTCAACACCGAGGTTCAAATCAGCTCTTCCACGTTGTTTTGAATGAGTTTGTGCCTTTCTGCAGCTTTTAATTAAAAATACGGATGAAGATCTGAAGATTTTAAAAGGCGGGATCTTGCAAAATATGGAACATTTTGACAGTTGAGTCCTGAGCTGATTCTACATTCAGGGCAGAGGGTTTGCAGAGTCATTGCTTTAGGCGTTTCTTGAATAAGTTCCTCCTCTCTGGATGAATCCTCAAATCATTATCAGACTGCCGTCACTCCTCGTTGCACAGGGTCAGAGTTCAGATCTAATAAGGAGCGACCTACGTCTAACAGCATGTTCGGGGTTAATTCAGAGACTTCAGTCCTTCACATACAGACGCTGCAGGTGTAGACCCCTCATTCTTTTCTAACTGGTGACCATGCAGATGTGAGGTCACCTCATCTGAGTGTGTTTGTAGATGTTGTGACCATGTGACAGGTTATACCTTGGTTACTCATTAACTCCTGTCCTACTTCTTGCAGCGCTCACAGAGATATGAATACATACAGCGAAGAAGAACAGTTAGTCATTTACAGTTTGAAAGTCCCGTTCAGAGTCCATTTGGCAAAAGCAGAAGCCAAAAAATATGATTTACAATCGACCTGAAAGGCTTCAACACATCTGACTCTTAAAGATGGAGACGGGGAGTAAACAGGGATGTGAGATAACTGCGAGCTAACAGCTGTTACATCACCCTCTACAAACACACCAGACATAAAAACATACACTTGAAGGTCCAATCAGTGAGCTGTGTAGAGAGTGAAATGATAAAGTGATCTTACTATATGATCAGACATTAAGGAAACATGCTATGTTAAAGTGCTGGCTTCTCTGACAACAATGCAGCAGCCAGTATGTCCTCCTTCTAACTTTAGATTCTGGTCCTGAATGCTCTGGATTTGTTTGGACCAGAGAAGGTAGGCACATGGCCATTTTGGACGCCCCTCGGTTTGCCAGATAGGAGAGCAGTTATCAGGTCAACAGGTGTTGCAGCGATGGAAGCGGGCAAGAGAAGTGGTTCAGATAGAAGTGATTGTACCCGACCTAAAAAGCCTCTGCATGTTTCTAATAAGCTCCACGAGCAGAAACGTGCTCAAACTAGGATCAATATTGGAGATGCTTTTGAAAAATGGAGAGAGGTTAGAACGCAGAAAGGTTTACAGACCCATGCAGAGCTGGATAAACACTGAAGCTTCAGTGACCACCACATGGCAACCTGCGTGAGCATCGACTCTAGAGAGGAGGGGGCGGGGAGGAGACAGCTCTCTACAATGTTTAGAATTTAGACTGCAGTATCCATTTTAACCATTAGGGTTCAGAGTTACATACTGCTCCTTTAAGAAACAAATCGGAGTCAAAAACAAGAACTTTTAGAGAAACTTTGAACGGTAACATTTCCCCTTAAAGATTTCCTAACATCTGGTGCAGCATGAAGGGCACCAGATGACCTAGTGGTTATTTTGCACTCCATGTCTGGAGGCTTTAGTCCTCATTGCAGCGGCCTTGGGTCCTAATCTGACCTCTGCCCTTTGCTGCATGACGTCCTCCACTCTCATCAGCTGTTCTGTTGAATAAAAGGCAAAAAGGCCTAAAAATATAAAACCTCAAAGAAGATATATTTCACACTGGGGCGCAGGTTTTTCTCTGTTAAATGTAGAATAAAACTGAGACAAATGTTTGGTTTAACTGTGTCGATGGTAGGACTTTAACCAAGAGAACACGAGTCCTCACCTGCTCTGTAAGGTGTGTGTGTGTGTGTGTGTATGTGTGTGTGTGTATGTGTGTGTGTGTGTCAGAGGGAGGGGCTAACCACAGCACCTGTAGCTCAGCGGGCAGGAGGACACAGACACACAGAGGAGAGAAAGAGGACGGGACGAGGACACATGGAGGTTCATGGATGAGCACAATAACAAAAACTCTTCTGGGCTCTGAAATCTGTGACGTGAGTTTAACCTTTAACCTTCAGGAGACGAGTCAACAACAACAACAACAACAACGAGCTTCATCATCCTTCTCTCCCTCATTGTATCGAGTACTGACCTCTTTTGGTTCAGCCGTCGATGACCGAATGGATCAAAGATTCTCCTCTGTGAAGCATCAGGGATTCAGACATCAATTTCAGTTCTCCTGCCTGGTTTATTATTAACTCGCCCCGTTTGAAGCTCAGACTTCTCAGAGTGATATTTCAGTTAACACGCTCACCGTCCGTCACCGGAGCGTCACAGAGGTCGACGGGACGGAGCGAGACAGACGCAGCTTCACAGAGCGGATTCTTCTGAGTTCAGTCTGAGTTCTGGAGGAGGCCGAACATCGATCCTGACCGACAGCTGGAGAGAGAGAAACATCTGCTTCAAACAGGTGAGTCAAAAAACAGCTCAGAGTCACTTGCAGACACGTTTAGGTAAGAGTTTTAAAAAGATCTTTAAAAGAGAACTTTTAGAGAAAGTGTTAATTTGTTACACACAAACACAGACACTCAAGTCAGGAATTCTTTCCATTTATTGTGTTTTTATCGCTTACTGATTGGCTGCATGGCGGTGCAGTGTGGTCACTTCACAGAGAGGAGGTTCCTGGTTTGAATCCCCATTGGACAGAGACACTTCCTGTGTGGAGTCTGCATGTTCTCCTCCCACAGTCCAAAGACATGCTCGTTAGGTTAAATTGTTCGTAGGTGTGAATGTGAGTGTGGCTGGTTGTCTGCCTCTATATGACAGCCCTGTGATTGGCTGATGACCAGTCCAGGGTGTAACCCCGCCTCTCGCTCCGACCACCCACAAAAAATAGGACACCAATAGAGTCACCAATTAATCTAACGAGCATGTGTTTGGACTGTGGGAGGAAGCTGGAGAAGGAAGGAGAACATGCAAACTCCACACAGGAAGTGTCTCTGTCCGACGGGGATTCAAACCAGTAACCCCCCCCACTGTCTACAATGAGTGAGAAGCTCGAGTCCCGCTGGCTGTGTTGTTGTCAGAGCCGTGTGAACCTGAGTGGAGGATGGGCTGGAGGTGTGTCACTGAGGAGAGCGGAGGCTTCAGTATGGAGGAGGCGTGGCCTAACATAATTTTGTTTTGGTTTCATGCTGGAGCTCAAGGGCGACATCTACTGGATCAAAAATTCACAAATCACAAATTCTTCCTTTTATTAATCGCGGGGCGCCGATAGCCCAGCGGTTACGTCGTGCGCCTCATGTACGGAGGCTGTAGTCCTCGTTGACCCCTCGTTACATATCGTCCCCTGCTCTCTCCTCTCAACACTTCCTGTCTCTAATATGAAGCCGATGATTCAGTGAGAACTTTTCAGTTAAAATAAATTAACTTTAGATTCTTTTTAGACTTTTTCACATGAAGCCGTCACAGTTCAGGCGGTAAAATGTGTGAAAACATTCAGAGCTCATATTCATCAGGCTGTTGTTGTATTGAGTACAATAGTTTTCTCTCCTTCATAAAAACATATCAAATGCTCCATTGTCACTAAAGCTGTTGTTTCTGGACTCTTGAAAAGGCGGCAGGGTGACGGTGCAGTAACTCAATCACTCACTCCGTCGACCTTTACAGATAATTGAGTTGTCTCCTCGTCCGACCCAAACAGCCCTCGTCCTGGGAACAAAAAGAATCTGAGATCTCATGTTTCTTCTTCTGCTCTCACAGACGAGTCGACGTCTTCAGAAAACATTGTTTATGAGACAAATCATTTTAGAGATTTATTTTTGGGCTTTTTTTTAGAGACATGACCATAGACAGAGTCAGGAATCAGAGGGGGGGGGGGGGACGATGTGCAGGAAAAGAGTCACAGGTCGGATTCGAACCTGGGCCGCCCGCTTGGAGCAAATGTGCCCTGTCTGACAGCACTCACTGTTGTTGCCCTTCAAAGCATCTCATGCATTTTTCTTTGGAAACCAAGCATGTCATGAAAGTCCCAGAAAGGAAAATTCAGAAGAGTTATCCATCTGGGAGTGAAACCAGGAAGAGGAAGAGGAGTAAGCGTCGGGACATAATGGTGAGGAAGACTTCCTGTATTTCCCACCACACATCCCTGACCTGTCTGCCTGACTCCTCTCCCTGCAGCCTGGACTCCCGACCATGACAGTCACTCATGTTAAAGAGAGACGTCACCGGGAGATGTTCTGGAAAAGGACTGCAGTACCCGTTTAAACCACTAGGAGTCAGAGTTACAAACTGCTCGACAACAACAAGAACTTTGAGAGAAACTTTAAATAGCAGCCTGAAATAAGTAGTAAAATATATTTAAAGGGGCAGCAGATGGACTAGCGGTTATGTAGCCAATCCACGTACAGAGGATACAGTCCTCATTGCAACAGCCGTGGGTTCGAGTCTGGTCTCGGCTCTTTGCTGCATGTCATCCTCCGCTCTCTGGATGATGAGGCGGTCGTGTCAAACTGTCTAAAGGAAAGCATCGTGCTAGATGATTAAAGTCGAGCTTCTTCTTCCTCTGTCTCTAAGATTATTATAAACATGTTCTTCTCACTGCAAATATCTTCTCATTTGCAAATAAAAAAAACACCCTTCTCTTCCTGTCTTTCCCGGAGAGGAGATTTAAACACAGAGCGCTCCTGAAGTCGATACTCGCCTCGTCGTCACTTCAAAGTCGAGTCAAATGAAAAGACACAAAAAGAGAGCAGAACAATGACGAGTAAACGGAGCGTATCACAGCTTCATCAAACAGAGAGAGAGAGAGAGAAGAAAAGAAACAATAAAACAATGTGCTTCAGTTTCTGTTTGCTCAGCTGGTTTTATAAACGTGCCTCGGGGCCTCGGCGTGATCAGCTGCTGACCTGCTGTTTGCACGCACGCTGCAGGTCAGAGACCAACCAGGCGAGTCACGATGGCTGTTTTTTAACTTCTGTAGTCTGTGGATGAGTTTACATTTACATCTGAACTATAAATCAAATCACTCTGATGCAGAAGTACAAACTTTTAAAAAGACATCCTGGTGTTGCAATGAAGAGAAAAAAAACAGGTTCAACCACCAGAATGGGAACATTTGAGGTTAAAGGAGAACATCAATAAAAACATTTTGTGAAGGAGCAGTATGTAACTCTGACCCCTAGTGTCTAAAATGGGTACTGCAGTCTAAATTCTAAACATACTAGAGAGCTGTTTTTCAAAAGCATCTCCAATATTGATCCTAGTTTGAGCACGTTTCTGCTCGTGGAGCTTATTAGAAACATGCAGAGGCTTTTTAGGTCGGGTACAATCACTTCTATCTGAATCACTTCTCTTGCCCGCTTCCATCGCTGCAACAACCTGTTGACCTGATAACTGCTCTCATATCTGGACGCCTTAAAACCTCCTACCTTCTCTGGTCCAAACAAATCCAGAGCATTCAGGACCAGAATCTAAAGTTAGAAGGAGGACATACTGGCTGCTGCATTGTTGTCAGAGAAGCCAGCACTTCAACATAGCACGTTTCCTTAATGTCTGATCATATAGTAAGATCACTTTATCATTTCACTAACTACATACTCATTGAGTGGACCTTTATGTTTTTTTCTCAAGTCGTCATCACAGAAACACCTGCGTCGTTATCGCACTAAATGAATCATTTGAGATGTTTGTATTAATGTCCGCTATGATAAACCCTCCCCTCAAATTAAAGATCTTTTTTAATCTGACCTTCTTTCTTTCCTCAGCCCTCCGTCACCTGTCCATCATGGCCGACCCGTCCCCCGGCTGGTGGAAGCTGACCTTCCTGAGGAGGAAAAAGTCTCAGCCTAAAGTTCTCTATGAAATCCCCGCAGAGTCCGTCTCTAACTCCTCCTCCTCTCAGCACGGTTCAATCACCGCCACAGGAGCCACCGCCGCTGCTGGCCACCCAGAGGACCCCCAGCTGGACGCCCGACTGGAGAGGATCGTGGACAAAACGACAGGCAGCCGGGGGCGCCATGTGAAGGTGTCTCACTCTGGGAGGTTCAAGGAGAAGAAGAAGGTCAGAGCGACTCTGTCGGAGAACTCTCAGGTGTTTCCAGCAGGAGAACCAATGAGAGACGAGAACCTGAGAGCCGGGAAGTGACAGGACACACAAACGCTTCAAATGACATTCAGGATCTGAACTTTCTGGTGCTTTTTCATCTGCCGACCATCAGGGATAAATTTTAATCATAATAATTCATCAGATTCTTTTTTTTTAAAACTTTGAACGTCGAGAACCAAAAGAGGAACAATTTAATATCAGCAGGTGTCAGGTGGTCCTCGAGACCGTTTTCTGAAGGCTCAGAATCTAAAGTATTTGTACTCGGTCTTGTCTCGCTCTCAGACTGGGCAGACTCTGGATTTTAAATCAAGACCGGTCTAGACCACCACTGACAGGCTATTTTTACACATCATTCCTCTGACTGTAAATGTCTCAGTCTCGGTCTCGGAGCACTCTGGTCTCGGGTCTGTCTTAGGTCTGAGAACAAAGAAGCTCCATTAAAGATGATTTTTTTTGTTTTGGATTGCGTCAGACTCCTCAGGTGGTCACAAACACAGAATATGAAGTTTGATTAGAAAGTTAGGAACACTTTATTTTAATGAGTTTTATAGAGGATGACTTTGTGTTGGCCAGCAGAAGGGCAGCACTGCTCCACACAGTCTTCCTCAAACACTCCTTCACTCAAAATAAAAACGTTAGAAAATTAAGTCAACCTGCAGACTCTCACGCTACGAAGGAGTCTGAGGGCCACATCAAGGGGAAGATTTTGTACATTTTTTCATTTTACATAGCCTACTTTATACTTTATTAATGCTTGGGGGAAAATTCTGGTTTACACTCTTTAGACCTGCTTCTCTCTCACACACACAAATACAAACAGGACCTGTGGACATCAGTGGGGGATGCTACACTGGGGGCTCAGTGTCTTCCTCAGTGGACACCTCTCCAGCTAACAGACCAACATCCATATTTTTGGTTCTGCTCTCATCAGGCGGATGTCTGCTCTTCTGATAGAACCTTTCAGAATAATAATTTAACCACAACCGGATCTAAATCGAGTTACACATTTCATATCGTACATGTAGATTTGTTTTTCTTTACCCCGGCCTTAATCCTCCGTCGTATCTCTGAATTCATTTTCTGTTTTGATTTTGATGTAAAAATGTTCTTCAGCATTTCTTTAACTCTCAGATTAATGTGTCTGTGCTCCTAAACTCATGAGACGTTGTGTAAATATTTATGTTCAATCAATAAATATTTGTGATTTTAAAAATAGATCATTTTTCATTCAAAGCTTTAAACGTGTAGAATGAGCTGAGTAAAATCACATCCTGTCCTTTAAATGTTTTTAAGAACTTTCAGATCTGCTGTTTTCAGTTTTCACCACAAGAGGGCGCCACCACCCCTCCTCATTCAGAGAAGAAGCTTCTGGGAGACGTTGGCGTCCTCTAGTGGCGAGAGGCTGCATTACACATTACACTCAGTTAAACAACATCCTGTAAACGGGTTTACTTGAGGGTGAGATTCAGAAATTAAAAACATTAAAGTTTAAACTGTTAAAAAAGTGCATAAGTATTTTATTCTGACATCTAAAATTTTTAAGTTTTTACTTTAATTAAGTTTATATTTACATATTAAAAAGTGTCTTAAAAAATCCCAGAGGCAAAGACTTTAAAATGTATTATTTTTCAAGACAATATTTGACTTTCAGGCCTCTGTAAAAATAAAAAGCACTGATTCAATTTGTGATTATTTGACATTAAAGGTGACATATCCTCCTCCTCTTCAGTGTAAATAAGTCTCAGAGCTCCTCAAAATGTGTGTGAAGTTTCTTGTTCTAAATCCACTCTGATCCTGTATTTGATCATGTCTATAAACCCCTCTATTTCAGCCCTGCTCAGAACAGGCTGTTTCTTTGACTGTACCTTTAAATGTAAATGAACTGTGTCTGACCACGCCCCCTCTCTGGAAGGGATTGGGTGTACTCAGTCTTTCTCGCTCTGTGTCCTATTGTTTACGATGAGAAGGCAGACTCAGAGGACAGAACAAACACCTAGCTGGGGGAGGGGCTACTGCCCTTTGTGATGTCATGAAGGGAAAATCTCCAAACGGCCTGTTTGAGCACACATTTTCTGAAAAGTGGAGCAGGGCTTTTAGATAGACTAGAGACACGTTAGTGTCAACTCAAACATTAATGTTTATTTTTGATGCTGATTTACGGATTTTTAACTTGTTGCAGGGGTTTACAGGACATCTGATGTACTGTTTGTTATTTTGATCGATGCACACTTTCTGTTCTGCAGACGTTCAGGATGATCTCAGAAAACGGCGCCTGAAAGAAAAACTTCTGACAGATTTAAAACAAACAACAGGAGGCAGGAGTTTCCGTTTTCTCATCTTTAATAACACATTCATATCTATGCTCTGTTTTGTTTACAAGAAGTTTAAAACAAGTGTTGATGAGGACTAAAGGAATCAGGCAGGCAGAGGGTGAAAGTCCATATACTGTAAAGACAGAGGGCGCAGCCTGGTGGAGGGAGGAGCGCTGCACACACCTGACGTCTCAGCTGAGTTTAGTTTCTGAGCTCGGGTCAGGCGAGTGTGGTCGTCCCCACCTCCCGCCTGCAGCCCCCTCCCCCACGGTCACTAAAAACAACAACAGGTCCTTTTTTTGCTTCTCGAACGAGTCGTCAGAAGTGAAAACAGATCATGAATCAGTGAAGAAGGTCCTCGCAGGGCGCTCTAACTCATGTCGGCTTTTCACAGAGAGAAAGAAAAAAAAAAAAACGCTAAATGCACCCGAACACAAGAGATACAATCTGCTGTCATGGAAACAAAAAGAGCGAAACAAAATAGGAAGTTACTAAAGTGTAAAGATTTTTTTTAATGACATGAGCGAAAAAGAAAAAAAAAGAAATCTCGTTTATGTTGTTTTGTTTTTTTAATTATTAAAGAAGAAAGTTAAACACGTTTGCGTCTCCCACGTTAAGATTTTAAATCGTTTGAAAAATAAAGAAAGAAAACAGAATCATCTTTGGAAGAAGTTTTTCCTTTAATAGACTATCACTACAGTATATGGAGATGCCGCTACCCAGTTATTTGTTTACCTATATTTATTTATTTACGTCTTTCTGTCGAGCAAACTTTCTTTTTTTTTGTAGTTTTTTGCGTCCTTTTTCCGAAGAAGAAAAAAATTACCATTTACCTATTTTTCCTTAAGAGGTAGATCAACAAAACAATTACATGGTTACAAGGTGTCGTGCCCCTCGATTCAGGCTGTGAGATCACAGGGAGGCGGCGTGGAGCGGCAGGGGCGGAGCAGCGAGGAAGACTGTGGGTAATTTATGCGGTCAGACGCAGGTTTAGAAATCAGTGGTGTTAAACTCCGAGCCGCAGCGAGCGTCTGAAACAGAAACTGATCCCGGAGTGGTCTGAACACCTTGTTGTGACTTTAGTGGACCAATCAGGTCGCTGACGTCCTCGCCCCCGGCTGCCAGCACCGCCACCACGCCGCGATGTGTCCGAGTTTTTTTTGTGTTTTTTATGTTTTTTTTCTTATGCTTTTTTTTACAGTCCCGTCTCTGAGCAGGAGAGGTACGAGTTCAAAAACCAAAAAATAAATTACAGAGTGGAGAAAACAAAAACTAAAATGGCGACCGTAACATCGACTGTCCGTCGTTTATGCGTCCGCCCGTCTGTTCGCTCTCGTCCGTTTGTCGTCAAAGGAAATCAAAGAAACAATCTTCCGGCTGAGTTTGCTTTCTTGTTTTGAGGTAGCGTTCCTAGTTATGTGACAAGAGGTCTGTTAGTTTCGTCCTCCTTTAGGTGGAAGTTTCTAATTCGACGAGACTCGAGGGGAGTTTTCAGGACTTGAGCTGCGAGTCCGTCCGTTTGTCCGTCTGCGTCGGCGGGGGGCGGAGCTACGTGTTGTGAGGGTCTCAAAGTGAAGCTGAGCTCTGCCGCCACAAAAAAAGAAGCAGGACAAGATACGATCACCCAAAATAAAGTCTTCCAATCTTTAAAAACAAGACGACAGCGGAAAGATTTCAGTCCATTCAGGAAGCGTCAGGCTGCAGAGATGACCTCTGATCGATACTTTTCTACCTGTGTTTAAAGATTCCGCATTTCAGTGCAGCGTTTTAGCGTCTTTCAGCTTTGTTGTTTTGGTTTGACATCACTAGCTTTAATGCTAACTTTCGTTTGAGCTCTTAAAAACGCAGATATTCCTCTCAGGAGTCGGAGACCAAAACCGGAGCTAAAAGGAGGCTCGTTCATATACGCCGCCCCTTTAAAGCACAAAATAATCTGAAGTCGCAGATTTAAAAGTTGCTTTATACATGTTCAAATGAAGATCGCATTTAAGCAACGATTTGATTTAAAGAGTCGCTGTGATGTATTGAACGAGTCGTAAATGACGCTGAGATAACTTAACGATGCAGATTTGATCAAAACTTCTTCAATCGTTTCTTTCTTTCCTGCAGAAATGCTCAATAACACATGTCGCGTTTTAGCATCTTTCAGCTTGTTGTTTTAGTTTTTACAACATGTTCCTGAATACTTGACACAGATTTGAAAAAGTTTAAACTTGTTCTTCTTGTCTCTGTGACAAAAAGCAAACGACCTTTAAAGCCTGTTTTTTTTTATAAATGGAGGTCAGTGGATGTTTTTCTGCAGCCTGACAGCGTCAGAGGAAACTCAAACTTACTCCGCTGTCGTCTTTCGAACAGTCTTAAAACGATTTGATTCAACATGAAAGTTTGATGCATAAGTTCTAGTGTGTAGAAACGATTATGATATTTGTTATGTTTTTACAGTGTGCGGCGCTCACACTGACGACCTCTGTCCTGCTGTGAAAACAAGACGTCACTAAAGTTGCATAAAAACAAGACAGAGGGTTCAGAGAGAGATCCTGATCGGATGAAGACCAGGACCAGGATTTCTGCCCATGTTCGTTATGCAGCACGGCGCTCGCGTGTGTTTTAAGAGTACAATGTCTCGACTGTTTGTACAAAACAAGGAGGTCAGACGTGCGCCTGCGTGCAGACGTCTCCTCCGCTGTGTTTGGCACAGTGACTGTCGTGTTCAGAGCTACAGGTTAGCGAGCGTTTAGTAGCCGTTCTCTTCATCAATCTGTGCGTTCAAAAACTAAAGGAAACAGAATCAACTATTTTAAGTTTTTTTCAAAATAAGAGTCAGAACATCGATTGTAAAAGTGAAAAGAAATCAAAGGCGGTTAATGAAAAGAAAATCGAAGGTCTTGGAACAGAAGTGAGAAAACGAACACGATGGAGACCAGCGCGAGAGAGGGCGAGGGACCCTGACGTTGCCGCCCCGCTCCTAAAATGAAATGATCTTTTCTTCTTTTTCTATTTTATAATAAAATCTCACTCTCCTCCTGGAGCCGGGAGGAGACCAATCAGAACTCCTCCCTTCACTCCTCGTCGTCCTCTAGCGGCCGGCGTTTCAGGAGGTTCTCAGTCACTTGTTGTTTTTTTTTTAATAGTTGGACGCCGCTCACACGTTTAGTCAGTGCGGCGGTACGTCCGCAGATGTCACGTCCAAATAAAGCTTGCTGTTTCGTCAATAAAAACCAAATCAAAGAAATGAATCCTAACTGATGGCAGGCTGAGTCGGGGGTCGTAAAGAGCATGTCTTGGCGGTTGTGAAGCGAGCTCTATGGTTTGGAAAGAGGAGGAAACTTTACACAGGCAAGGTTTGACTGCGAAGTTTCCGCCTCTGGACAAAAATGGAAGCACAAGCACGTTAGAATAGACGTTTTCCTGTTTGATGGCGAGCTGGTGGGAGAGCCTGGGCGCTGTTAAAAAGATTATCTGGCAGTGTCCTTCTGTGACTTGGCGCAGTCTTTCCTCTCGACGGCGTTTCCCACTTTGATTTTTAAGCTTTTTTTCTCCAAAAATACAAAAGTACGGTGTTCTCCTTTCCTCTCGTATGTACAGGTTTTTTAAATCTATTTCTCAGATGTGTTGACGTCGTTTTTAAACTCTTACTTTTCTTCTTTTTTTTTTGCTTCCTATTTTCTCGATTCGGCCTCGATTCGGCCATAGCGTCTCGTCCTACTTTTTTCTGCTTTTTTTTTTTAAAGTTTCACCCAACCACATCCCCTGACAGAAATGAACATTTAAAACCAGAGAACACACACACACACACACACATTCTCCTTCACACATACAGCGAGCACACACGCAGCCAACAGGGAGCTTCTGAGGTGTCGTGGTCAGTGCACAGGTAATAAATATTCACATTCAGAGAAGTCAGAGCTAGTTCAGGTGTGTGTGTGTGTTCGGTGCGTGCGTGCGTGTGTAGGTAGAACGCCCTCTCCCGTATCCACATGCAGTCACACTGCTGCTGCGTTCAATACAACTCTGATGTGACGAGTCCCCGACCGCCAGATGACACGTGTCGTCTCTGTGGTCGGGAACCGGAACCTCTCGAACACTTAAAAGCCCTCTGATAAAGTTTGGCGCTTCATGATGATGTCATCACATTAAGGCAGGAGGGGGAGGGGCTCCGGTGCATGCGGTGGCTCAGGAACGTGGATGTTTTATAAAGAGCGGGGTGCGTTCGCTCAGTTTCTGCAACGCGTTTCCCCGAAAGAGGAGGGAAACTGTGCAGCGAGGGTTGAGGTTCATAAGGTCAAAAGTTTTTTCAGCAACGGCGTGCATCGAAATCCTGATGCGTCAAAAATGTCTTGTTTGCACAAGCATTGCCATTTGTTTCATCTGATCTGCAGGGGGCGCCAGAGGCTGCACGCTATCAAGATACGTTTATTTATGTCCTGCAGAGTAGTGCATCTGCAGAAACTCACAGCAGGATATCGAAGATGCCGCCATTTTGTTTCTGCAAACTTCGCTTTGTTCAATCACATATGCACGGCGAGTCTCACCTGCATAAAAAACCTGCTGCATGAAAGCCATGCGGCAGGGTAAAAATGCACGCTAGGCAGGTTCTAACAGCACCACAGCTCAGTCTGACTTAGCGCCGTTTTATAAAAGCTGAATTGCAGCGAAAGCGTCTCGCGCAGCCTCAGAAGAGGATTTTCTTAAACCAGGAAGTAAAAAACGTGTTTGCACTCTTCGTGGTCTTTATGAAACATCCACTGTCAGTATGCCTCCAGCTGCACGCCACCGTGTGCACGCCACCACCTCCCTCCCCTGTTTACTCTCCCTATTGGCCAACAAACCGTTCCACAAAAAACGGCTCGTCCAATCACACTTCAGGAAGACAGAGAGCGTGTTTCTCACCCAAAAAGGCAAAATGGCACTCAGCTTATTTTCCTCTTGAGACCGGTTAGACTTGACAACTCCTCGTCATCCTGAGCTCATTCAACCATCAACACACCCAAAAAAAAAAAAAAAACAGAAAAAAATAACCAAAGCAACAAGACAATACCTAAAAAAAAATACTTTTTTCTTTAAAAAAATAAAAAATATTCAGGACTATCAGCTCTTCTTTTCTTTTTTCTTCTCATATAAAACACCAGCAAGCAAAAGAAAGTTAGGAATACTGAGGTAACTTTACCCTGAGGTAGGTTTTTTTCTTTTTCATTTCTTCTCTAATCTGTTCTAATCTTGGCGAGAGCGTCCAGGCAAAGACCCCGCCCCTCATTATCATACGCAGGCAGGGTCTGGAGGCTCCGCCCACAGGCCTTTGGCAGATTGGGAGAGAGAACGAGGAAGCCACTCCCCTTCGGTCTGATTTTACCTTCGCCGAGCTCAAGGCGAGGAGCTTTGGAAGACTTTGCTTTGTTTTTTTTTTGGTTCTCGTGCTCGACCCGGCCAGTCTGCGCATCATTTTATTCAAAACCCGAGCATCAGACACCGTGTTTGTCCGCTGGAACAAAGACGGTCGTTAGTGCACAGGTGATGACCTCAGCTCCTCTGAGGAGACTGGCCATGAGGGTCGGCGCTGAGAGAAGGCAATGAGCAGAACACCACAGACACGCCTTGTCTGTCTGTCATTGCAGGACTCATCGTACAGGTGCAGCAAAAACCTCACACCTGACTCGCTGCCTTCAATACATTCACCCGAGGGGCCGGGCTAACTCACATATCATATATATATAATATATATAAAATATGCCATTTAAGGTGCGGGTCGCTAGCCAGCTAGCATAGCTGCCGGCAGTTACAGTTGTTTGTAAAGGTTTCTCTCACGTTAGCTGAGTCGCTGCATTAGAACTGCAGGACCAGCTGCGACCACGCCCCTCTGACTGTCTCTTGCTGCGTCTTCCGCCACACGGCTAAACGTAAAGGGGCCGCTCAGTGCCTCTGCAGCCCCCGCCTCGCTGTAGGCTACATTATACTACGTATCATAGAACAGGGGCTGTGAGGTCACCTGAAGACCCCTTCATTAAAAAGGCAAGGCGGCCAGACGCAGCATTCTTAACTTTACATGAAGATTATATTTACAACCTCATATTTCTCCTTTATTCTTTTTTTTTATTTTTATTAAATCTCTCCGCTACTCGGAGAGAGCTTTAAAGAGCAGTGTTAACATCTGCGGCCCCTCTTCTAGACTTTCATTGGCCAGGGGGGTCAGGTGTCGGCGGGGCTTAATGCCAGACCAATGACCTTTCCCCCCTGAGCCGCTGCAGCAGTTTCCCTGCTCCCTCTCCCGGCTCCACCTCACTGCATTTCTATCAATAATAGCTCTGAATAAAACATTTCTATACATATATCTCTATGTTTAAAAAACCACCCTTAAAATATAGGACTGAGTGCAGATGGCTGGAGAGGTCTGTAGGGGGCGACAGAGGGACAAACAGGCTCCTGTGTGGACAGGTGTGAACAACAGACTGCGTTGTTTACACCTGTCGGGTGCAGAGCTGACTCACACTCAGAGGACATGCCCCTCCCTCTCTCCTTCCCTCCTTTCCTTCATCCCTCCATCCTCATTCAGTCTCTCTTCTGGCCTGGCGTCTGGTGTCTGTTCTCTTTTTTATCTTAATCCTCTTTTTTTTTTAAATTCATTTCATCTTTTTGATTTTAATCTTCTTCTCTAAACGCCGATCGGGCGTACTCCTTCCCTCTTTTATATCTCTCCCTGTCTACCGCTGGGTCCGTGTGTCGCTCTCTTGTATCCGTCCGTCCGTTGGTCTATCCGTCCGTGCATTTGTATGTCTGTCCGTCGTGCCCCTTGGCGTGTTCAGAGGGGGCGGGGACCCTCACTTCCTGCGAGGCTGGTGCTCCTGACTGAGTCCCTGCGTGGGGCTGCCCATCTCTGTGAAGCCCCCGGGGTTGGGGCTCGGGCCGCACATGCCGCCTTTCTGTGGGTGTTTGACCTGGGTCAGGATGTCCCGGATCTTCCTCTGAGCCAACTGGAGAACAGAGAGAACGTTTTTAAAGAAGAGCTTCATGAAGGAGGATTAAAAACAATGTGTGTGAGGGTGGAACAGCGAGTAAAGTTTAGCTGACTCCAGATGGTGATCCCTGAAAAAGGAAACTAAAGAGTACCTGGCTGGCGTAGAAATGTCCGTTGATCTTGACGATGACCTGGTCGTTCTCATCGGGTGTCTGCTCTCGGGGGACGACCACCTCGGCTGCTGTCAGGTTCTGCAGCTCGTTCACCTGCACGCACACATTCACAGAGTCACTTTAGGAGAACGTTGTGACAAGACAAAAAGGAAAGCGGATTCTGATGAATGCTCTACAGAAAGCACTGAAGTGTAAAGCACAGGTTTCTCACCGTCTTCCCTCCCTTGCCGATGACCCTTCCTGCGGCGGTGGCGGCCATCTTGATGTGAGTCTCCAGTTTGACTTCCTCCTTCGGCCCGAAGAAGTTCTCCTCCTTCAGCTTGCCGTAGATTCTACCCTGAGCCTGCGGGGGGGAAACAAAGTCTGTGAAGATGGAACTATTGTCGTCAGCAGACCCGAGAGTGCGGGTGGTAGCGTGAGGAGCTCAGACATCACTTACCTTAAACTGAGCCTCGGGGGGTCCAGTCACAATCACCATCCTCATCTTGCAGTCTGGAGTTTCAGCTGGGGCGATCTGAAGGAGAGGAGACACACAATGACAAGGTATTTAACAACTTAAAACCTAACTTATTTATACTTCTAGACACTTTAAATGTGTTTGAAATTTGGGTTTTTGATGCAACTTTCTGTCAGCCTTGTGATTTTCTGCAGAACTTCCCTTCAGTTTCGTGCAGCCTCGATTCAGAGGAAACTTTAGGAGACACTTTAACAAGTCAAAACAAAGACATTTTGTAAAATGTGCATCAAATTTCAGATTTCAACCTTCAGGTGACGGGGTGCTTCTCAGTCTACCGGCTTTTCATCTTATTTGATTTTTTAAATTTTGTATTTATTGTGTCCCTTGTTTTAGAGTTGGAAATTTCAACATGAGCTGCAGGGCTTGCCACAACGAGCCAATGGACTTAGATCAGTGATCTCACACTGACAATGACGTCGGACTGACAAATTTTTATCGAGGGGGGCTAGAACCGAGCGTTACATGCAGCTAATGCTACAGCTAACAGGAGGAGGTAGGAGTAGCTGCGTTTCCGCAGACTTTGAATTTTTGCAAATAGATGTGCCTAAACATGCACAGGACACTTGGAAAACACACTAAAGGGCATATAAAACCAGAAAAAGCAGAATATGGGACCTTTAAAGCTTTTTCTCTTGCCTGGCCCTTGCGGATGTCATTACCCAAACAGACCACACAAGGGTGCCAGCGCTCATCTTTGCCAAGTATTGATTTGTTTGTTGTCTCTGACACTCCATCTGTTTGTTTGTATGTAAATGTTTGCATGGTGTGGGTGGACTGTGGAGCTGAATCGTCCTCTGGGATAAATAAAGTTCAAGTAAGTCGAAGTCCTCGAAGGTTAATGTCGGTGCCCTAATGGTTAGTTTGCACGTCCCAGGTACAGAGGATGTTGTCCTACAGTTTGGTGTCCCGGGTTCAAGTCAAACCTTTAGCTCCTTTCCTGCATGCCCCCCCCCTCTCTCTGTCTGGTCTTCAATAAAGTAAACATAAATCTTTAAAAAAAGGAAGTTATTGCATGTTCTAATCTGACCTTGATGGATGCCCCGGCGAAGCGGCTCAGCTGTTTGATGTGCTGTCCTTTCTTTCCGATGATCGCTCCCACCGCCTGAGCTGGGATGTAAATGTGGACCGTCTCCTGCTCGGGAGCCTGAACGCACAAAGAGAAAGTTTTAATATTAACCAAAGCATCATCTGATTAATATGATGATTTAAACAACTGGTTTGGATTCAACATAAAAGGAGGGAATTTAAAATAAATGTAGATGTTCAAGAAGTGTTAGTAGAGAATCATCGATCTGACAAAATGTTTAACACTCAAACTGAAGATTAACCACCTCCAAATGATGACCATGCATGATTTACTGGAGGAGACTTTCTTACCCCAAAGCACCCATAGGGGGCGCCAGAAGATGCATTTCCAGGCGGGGGTGGGGGCATGTTGGCGGAGGAGGGGAAGAGGCCGAGCGCTCCGAGGTTCAAGCCAGGGATCAGGTGAGTCTGTTGCTGTCAAGAAGAAGACGAGACGATTAAAAATGTGAGACTGAAAAAGACAAAGAGTTCAAACTGACAAAAGAGTGTGTGTGTGTGTGTGTGTGTGTGTATGTGTGTGTGTGTGTGTGTGTGTGTGTGTGTGTGTGTGTGTGTGTGTGTGTGTGTGTGTGTATATGTGTGTGTGTGTGTGTGGCGAGACTCACATTCATAGCAGCGATGTCGTTCTCGTACGCCTCTCTGACCTTCTTCATCACCTCGTTCTCGGCCAGACAGCACGCCTCAATGGATCCTTTCACAGTGATGGTTCTCTCTGGGTTGTACAGCGTCAGGTCCTGCAGGCTGCACACAGAGCGACAGAACGTCACATGAAGACGATCGGTTGACTTGAAAGAAGTAGTATGAAACTCTGACATCATAGAGAGCCGTCTCCTCCCGCCCCCTCCTCTCTAGAGTCGATGCTCACGCAGGTTGCCATGTGGTGGACTCTGAAGCTTCAGTGTTTAGCCAGCTCTGCATGGGTCTGTAAACCTTTCTAACCTCTCTCCATTTTTCAAAAGCATCTCCAATATTGATCCTAGTTTGAGCACGTTTCTGCTCGTGGAGCTTATTAGAAACATGCAGAGGCTTTTTAGGTCGGGTACAATCACTTCTATCTGAACCACTTCTCTTGCCCGCTTCCATCACTGCAACACCTGTTGGTTTGACCTGATAACTGCTCTCATATCTAGCAAACCGAGGGGCGTCCAAAACGGCCGTGTGGGGGATGTCTTAAAAGCGTCTATCTTCTCTGGTCCAAACAAATCCAGAGCATTCAGGACCAGAATCTAAAGTTAGAAGGAGGACATACTGGCTGCTGCATTGTTGTCAGAGAAGCCAGCACTTCAACATAGCATGTTTCCTTAATGTCTGATCATATAGTAAGCTCACTTTATCATTTCACTCTCTACACATCTCACTGATTGGACCTTTAATGTTGAAGTGTGTGAGTCTTACGGTGAGATGGTGATCTTGGTGTCTGTGTCCTGTTCGACTTTCTTCAGGTTGCGTCCCTCCTTTCCGATCAGACGTCCCACAAAGTTGTTGTGAGCCAGAATCTTCAGAGGAACCTCATCAGCACTGAAAATAAAACAAAACAGTGATTAGAGGAAGAAATAAAATAAGATCTACGAGCAGAATCCTTCCAGATATTTGACGTGATGAAACCTGTGAGACGTGTTTGTTGCTGACAATAGGAACCTGTAAGTCTGTAAAATGTTGAGTTCTGGTTTAAAACCTACGTCTTGGTGTCTTTGGCCTCCTGGTGCATGATGTCGAGGATCATGCGGCAGGCGGACGAGCAGCCCTCGGGGGTGGAGTGGATGCTGATCGGCTTCTCAGCAGCGCCAGCGTTCTCCTTACGATGGACGTCGATCCTGCAGAGACAGAAACGATCAGAATTTTTAAAGTAAGACACCGAGACCTTAAGAGAGTACGCCGGTCTTCCTGACCCGACCGTGACCATCACAGCGTGCAATGGACTCACTTGCTCTGCGTCTGTTTGGTGATGTTCCTGATGGTGGCGCCCTCCTTCCCGATGATGGCTCCCACGTACTGCGTGGGCACCAACAGTCTCAGAGGGATGTCGGCGTGCGGAGGTTTGGGAGGCATCCCGGAGTTTGGTGACCCTCCTCGGGGTCCGCCTCGAGACCCATATCCGGGGCGCCGGCCGTTATCAGGCCCCCGCTGACCTCCATCCATCTCAGAGTTCTCATCGGGGATGTAGGAGACTCGCAGGGCGTTGTTCTCGAACTGATAACCATTCAGCTTCTGGATCGCTCTGAGGAGGAAACACGACAAGATGTTTAATTTAAACCAGCGGAGATGAGGTTTAAACATCTGGAATATAAAGGAGCGAAATACACAAGACAATGAAGACATGCTGTGCAGTGAAGGGCAAGTTGAAGCAACACGTTTTAACGATTTAAAGTGACTTGGTTTGTAAACAGCGGTGAAGACGAACACCACACAGTTTGATATCATCTGTAATTAAAGATTTCTATCATCTCTAATCGCTCATTTTGTCTCTAAGTGTTTGAAATAATTCTTCAGAAAAGAGAGACGACTCCACAAAACAAACTCAAGTTCTCAGTTGTAGTTCCACTAAATGACCACTAGATGTCACACGAGGAGCGTCAAATACAACACCACCCAAACCCCTGAAATTAAATACCAATCAATGTTTCTCTGACACATTCTTTTATCGTCTTAAATATTAAACAAGTGTTTCATTTTGAAAGGGCACTGACAGGAAGTCGTTTTTTAGAAGTGTAAGACAGCGTTATTGTTGAGGGTTTGAGGGATCTCAGTCACAAAGAGGGAAAAGTAATGACATGTGAACTTACTGTCTGGCGTGCTCCCGGGATGCATATGTGACGTTCACCACGGCCGTCTCGCTGTCGGTGTTCACTGAAAGAAACACAAAGAAACCCGATGTTTAAAGTCAGCTCGGCTGCAACTGCACAGCGCTCTTACAGAGACGGCCTCTGGTTGAACACTTTGGATATATAAATAAAGTTATTAACATCATTCCTTCAGCTGAGAGAGAGAGAAACAACTTCCTTTCAGATATTTTCAATCAAAGACGGTCAATCAAGCGTCGTGCTGCTCGGGTGTCTCACCTTGTTCACAGTTTTCTACGGTCCCACACTGGGCCAACAGGCCGTCCAGCACCTGAGAGAGAGAGAGAGAGAGAGAGAGAGAGAGAGAGAGAGAGAGAGAGCTGTTAATTGCGAATAGTGTGACCTTAAAAGTGTTACAGGATTATTGTTCCGGTTGACTGGACGCTTATTGGTCACGTTCTCATTCAGATGTGCAGTGAAATATAACGACCGTTCTGCAAAGTCACGCAATAAAAATACTCAAACATGACGATAAGAGCGATGTGAATATCAAAGCGTGCAGTTTGAAGACATAAATGATGTACAACACATGAAATGCTACAATAAGGAAAACAAGTATCTCAACTAAGTTGTGACGGTGTCGGCTGTCGGGGACGACGAGGTTGAAGATTCATCGATTTCACAACTTTTTTTTTAAAGCAGATTTTTGTCTTTTCCTTAAAGGGGATGCAGCGTCAAGAATCCCCGAAAACAGTGAGGGGCTTTTGTTTTAATTCTTAATTTAACATCTTCATATGAAAGACGTTTTTGTGGTTTCTCCTCAGAGTCTTTGATTGCTCGTCTGCATGCTGCGATCTGATCCTCAGGATGTGAAGGGCTGTGTCTGCGGAGAGACGTCGCCCTCGTGTGGACAAACACAGCATGACCACAGCAGCGGAGAAAATCTGTCACACGGAGAGCGAGAGAGAGAGAGAGACATTCCCACAGGCACGAGCTTGCCAAAGGAGGCCGGCGGCGTGCCACACCCTCATGAAACAATAACGGTACACAACGGCTCTCTCTCTTTCTCTCTCTCTCTCTCTCTAGGATTGCAGCATCTTGATCCCCCTCATTCACACTTTCTGCTTTTAATGGCGTGTGCTGAAGGAGAAACGAGAGGAGTCAGAAACATCAGCTGCTTTCTGAAAAACATGACTAAACGTTAAGAATGTCAAAGTTTGAGACGTTTTAGAGGTCGGCTTTATTTAGAGATTATTATTATTATTATTATTAAGAGATTCCGCTTCCTGAAACCTCCAACAGCAGCTTCATTTACAGTTTAACAGTTTTATTTGGGTTGGATAAACAAGGAGATACTCGTGTCTTTGGGGAACAAAGATGGTTCTGTTATCAGCTTGTCGACTTTCTGCAGGCAGCTGAGAGATCTGTGAAGTTCAGACACAAACCTAGCTCTGAACTGTCGGGATCAGCTGAGACGATAGAACGAGCTTCACTCATAACGTGATGATTCTGAGATGCATTCAGTCAATATTAGAGCTTTCACACGGGCACAAAACTCCTGTAGTTTTCATGCTGAGCTCCATGTGTGAACAACCACATCAGGAGAATATCCGGTGTGCGTGAAAACAGCTGATGTGTGACTTAAAGGACGTTGCTGAAAATATTGGGCGTGCAACCAACAGAGTCCAACTGAGATTGGGTACGAGGAAACAGAATCAGCGCTTTATCACCGCTTGGTGCAGGGATGTGATGTGTGAGTGTGAAAAAGGAACTGACCTCCCACTGCAGGTGAGGAGGAATGTTTCTGATCTGCAGCTTCCTGGTCCTGAGAAGACAAGAAGAGGAGCAGGTTAGAGACTTTAAAATCAACAAAGAGAAAGACCTGTGAGACAAACAGCTGCAGGTTAGAGGAGATGTTTCTGGATGAGGTTCATCTGATGGTGAATCAAAATCTCCATCAGGTTACCAAAACACACACACGCGCGCGCTCGCACACACACGCACACGCGCCTGCATCTTAAGACAAACTTAAACCTTGTGCGAGCGTCAGCACATCGTCTGTTCGTCCGTCATGTCATTTTTTTTTTCTTTAAACTGTGATCAATAATAAGCATGACTTTGTTTGACAGATTTTACACCTGTAGTATCCCGTTAGCCGGCCTAAAGCGATGGGTAATCACCACCTGTCCCAGTTTGACCAGGACCGCCCCGTTTTAAAGCTCCATAAAACACTAATATGTCCTGGTCTTGAACAGACCCTCTTCCATGGAGGGTTCTGTTTTGAATCATCAGACGTTTTTGACCATGAGGTCCTGATTTCCCTGACAAACCATCCGTACCAACATTTCTCTGAACCGAGAGGAAAACGTCTCCTTCTTGGATTCTGAACGGCTTCCAATGTAGACTAAAAAACATTTTTCATCAGGTACGTGAGTGTCAGGACGTTTTTGTTGTATCCATGTGTCGTCCTCCGTTTATCTCAGGTGTTTTGAGGACATTAATGAAGCAACAGCAAGAAGCAGGGCAGCATTGTCGGCTAAGTGACGGGGGGAGGTCGGTGTTTGTGCTCGTTGCCGTTTCTCACTGAAACCGTGTTTGTGTGAATATTTCCTGAAACTCAAAGAACTCATCTGTGTTCTTTAAACCTTCTTCAGTTTCATTTCTTCCAATTCAAGATTCAAAAAACGTTATTGTTAATATTCAACCCTGCACACCCCCGCCAACAGAGCATCAAACCGCAACAAGAACCAACCCCCAAATTAACCCCGCCCCCCCCCCCGAGGCCGTGAATAGTCTTTTGTGCGTCTAAAATACCTGGCGTCCCCCCACCCAGGGAGGAAAAAAGAAAAGCTCTGATGCTCGATCAATACTTGCTATAATCACAAGCTCCACCCCCAAAAACCTGCCACAAAAACAGACCTGCTCCCCACACCTCAGACACACAGACACAGACACACAGACACACACAGACACACACACACACACACACACACACACACACACACACACACACACACACACACACACACACACACACACACACACACACACACACACACACACACACACACACACACACACACACACACACACACACACACACACACACACACACACACACACACACACACACACACACAGAACTTGTTTGACCCCAACTGATGTCGCCCGCCAACCCACAGCCTCTCTGATTGGCTGAAACCATGGCAACAGGTCAGGAATGGGCGGACAAAACAACACGCTTCACATTTGCTTACTTGCTCGCTCACTCGTGTCATTCTTTCCATTTTTAATGTGTTTGTCTTTCACCTCCATGAGTCTGAGCCGCCATGTTGGAGCTCTCGCCACGCTGATCCAAGCAAAACGCTCCAAATGATGACTCGACAGTTTTTATTCCAACATGCAGGAAAACTGACGTAACATCGTATCCAATGCATTGATTTTTGTTGTTCATATGCAAAGATGGAAACACGCCGCAGCTTCAAAATGACTCAAGTCAAACGTGAAAGCGGACCTGTTGAGGTTCTCTCAGCTGTGAAGGCTTCACATCCAACAAAGGACTGGAGAGGAGAAAGAAAGAAGAAGAAGAAGAAGCAAAGAGGGAGGAGGAGAGAGAGGCTCTGCTACTACAAGGGGCAAAGGGCAAAGGTCGGGGCCCCTCAGACCAGACAGAGGGGCCCCGAGGTGGTCTGACTCTGTGGGTATCGTTAGGAACACAACAGAGCAGAGACACATATGTAAATGTGGGATCCGTTAGGAGTGAGTGTCCGGTTCCTTTTGGGAGCATCACTCCTCTATAGTCGTATAAACTCATAACAGAGCATTAAATTATGGAGCTAATCGCTAATCACACTCCAACGCTAACAGCAACTGCACGACTGATTGCACCGACAGAGGACACGGATGGTTGTGCAGCTACACCAAAACAAAAAAAAACTCTCACTTCCTGAAATCCATACGCTTCCTGTAACAGAAACAGTCGACCATGAAGAGCCTTCAATTGTTACCAAAATCACTTTCTAGGTTATGGTGTGTGGAGTGAATACTGAGCAAAGACTGAAGCAACTAGAAACAGATTTTAGATTAAACTCTTTAAAGCCCCGTCCTTTACCTGGTGTTTTTGTCTGAGCGCCAGCGTCTCTTGTGACAGAGCGAGGCATCGACAGACCAACAACTACTCTGAGGGGTACAAATGTGTTGTTTCCACGGCTTGAATCTTTGCAGCTGCAGACGTTTGTGTCGATCACTTGTTTTTAACAAATCCACTTCCTCTCTAACAGAAAGGTCTTTCTCTGCAGGGATCCTTTCTGTACTGTTCACATACTTAGAGTAACAATCTGAGCCTGTCAGGGAATCAAACTGCTCAGCTGCGGCTTGTTCAGTCCGGATCAATGGGAAAACACCTGAATCAATAATGACATCAATCTAATCCCTCATGCTGCATGTGAAAGGGGTCACTGATGTAAGGGCACAGTCATACTGGCCATCCGTACCGTGCCCAAGCACGCTTCAATGCTAAAGTCAAGTTCGTTTGACCAGTGTGACCGCTCCGTATCGTGCTCAGGCACGGTACACTTCCTTGGCTTTGGCACACTTCGAAGAGGTGTGCTTCGGCACGGTACACTTCATGCATGAGCACAAGCACGCGGGTAAACAGCGCTGACAGCCTTCATTATGGAGAAATCCAGAGTTTCATGTCTGTATCTGACTAAAATGACACAATATAAGCCACAAAGTAGCTGTCATGCTCTCTGTGTTTTTTTGTTTGCTTGTTTGTAAACTGAGCATGCTTCATAATAACATAAAGCATGCATGTGTTGTATTAAGACGTTATGTACAAGAGGTAATCGTGCTTAGGCACAGATAGTCCTGTGCAGTGTGACCGCGGGCCGCACCGGCCAGCGGGGGAATGACGCTGCGGGGGGGGGGAATCGTGCTTGGACACAGCACGGTATGGATGGCCAGTGTGACCGCGCCCTAAGGGACCTCTTTCTGCATGCCTGGCAATACTCAACGTCAGACACGATCACGTCTTAGGCTGCACACAAGACACATCCTAAACATTTCTAATGTGCACATGCACAAAGTCAGGATGCCAGAAAAGAAAGAAGGGAAGAAGGGGGCTGACTCGGACATTAGATCCCAACAAGAACTTGTTAAACTTATTTCAGTCGACTCCAAAGGCAGAGGGAGCTAATGTCAGCCAGGAGGCTAACAGTACTGATCGAATGTGCATGAGTTGATTTAAATCATATCTTGAGAGGGCCTTTCAAGGGCCCAGACATTTCTGACTTCCTGCACGCCACATCTGATCTGCGGAGCAGCTCGGTCAAAAATAGACATTAAGAGGAGCTTGGCAGAGTGCTGCTTCCCAAACCGGCTGTGGTGCATCTGGAGGGATCAGGAGCAAACCGGGGATCAGCTACAGCGGCTTTGTCTCAGCCAGAACACGTCCCTGTTGTGCACGATGGAATTTAAACCGAATGCATCCTCTTCATGCTCTCTGCCAGAAAGCAAATATGCACCAAACCTTTCCTTTAAGCCTCAACTCAGGCGTTCTAATCACCATTTAACGAAGCAGTTAGAAGATAATCTTAAGACTAAAACACATACAGAGACCAGGATGTCCAGTTCAGCCATCGCCTGCTACCATTCAGAACGCCGCTCACAGTAACAGCTCGCTCTGAGACATCCCTGAGCCTGGAGTGAGCGCTGGCTGCAGCAGCCCAGAGTGCAGAGGGTTAATATTTTATAAGAGCTATCTAGCCAGCAGAAAATCTCAGATGAATTTTTTATCGCTAATGGTGAAGAACAAGCAGCCAAACCCCGTCATCCGGTGTGCTTACCCAACCCTCGTTACCGGACAAATTCCTCTAATCATCCAATCTGAACCAGCTGTGACACCTTCAGAGCTCCACCCACTGACCCCTTAAATAAATCAGCTCCATCATGGCTGAGGGGTGTGCACTGCTGAGGGGATATTTCTGCAGGAAGATTAGACGCTACATGAGTGGATGCAGGGGCGGCGAGTTCAGGTGAAGATTCAGGATGCAGAAAAGCCTGGTTCAACAATCTATCATAAAGACAAATCCAAATGATGATTAAATTAAGAATGAATTTAGTTAAACCTGAGACCTACTGTTGCACGTTTGCTTATCTCGATGTTAAGTACAAAAAGTCAGATGTGTGCAGCTTTGAATCAACAGGAATCTGCAGCGTGATGAAAGTATGTCGAGCTTCATTTGAGCCGCTGACTGACACAGAACTTACTCTAGAAATAACAAATGAAAATCATCCCTACAGAGGTGACCATAGAGCAGGTAAGATCTTAGAAACATCCCTTAATAACAGCCAGGTAAGCCAACTGGAAAAGATGATACTGAACCAGCTTCTTTTTTTTTTAAACATCAAGCCAAGCGGCAGAGTTTATGTGCAGAGGAAGAGAGAGTCCCAAAGTGTTTGAGCCACAAATTCACAAGCACAATCACTGTTTGTTTTCAGTCTGACACGAGAGACGAGAAGAAGACCCTGATCAGAGGACCTGAGGGGTCCACTGGGGAGGGAGAGATGGAGGAGGTCAGGGATATAAACAGCTGCCAGATCATGCAGGGCTTTATCAACAAACAGAATATTTTAAAAATGAATTCAGGCTCTCATTGGAAGCCAGTGCAGGGAGACTGAAGGATCTCTAAAAAGGTCTAACTCCGTAGGGATCACTAAAAACTTAAAGTAGTTACAGAAACAGATTATTAGCACTTTTATGGCCTTATGGAAGGAATGTTTTCTCCTCAGTTGCAGGAGAAATACCGCCAACTAATTTCAAGA